TGCCTGAAAAATCACATTTTTACGCCTCACCGATGATTATTGTTTATAAATGTGTATTTGTGAGTGCAATTGTTCATGCATACTTGTGCATCTGCTTTCAAATGACGTAATCCTTAATTGGAAATTAGGAGGCAAAATTAGGATTTAAATCCATCTTCCTTCTATTTATCTACTTACCTACTCTATTTCTCTTGTTTTTTTTTCTATTTGCCAACCAATTAGGACCTGTTCACTTTGTTATTTTTTCTTTATTCTCACGTCTTGTAATATATCATTCAAAATGCATAACAATCCAAAATTACATAGTTCGTAGGCTGAAACGGCCATTTGAATGAGAATGTATCACGGGTACGGGCATGATGAACTATTCTTGACAAGAAGGCGATTTTGAGCTAATTGGGCTAGGAAGCTGAAGATTTTTGGAATATATAACATTGCGCGTCACATTTGAGCACAAAATCGTGCAAAAATGCATAATGGCACTGGCAGGTCTAGAGTGCACTGCAGTTAGTTTAAATTTGTTTTTGGATAAAAATTATAAATTTTCATGAATTTACCGATTTCATTGGTTTTCACATATAACCGTGTACTATGCACTCGTCCAATTGATACAGCCTCTGCTTTGAATGAAATTTCCTGAAAAAATATGCTGTGGCTAAAGTAAAATAAAAAGGCGCCCATATGTTTGACTTTAACCAAAACAACTTTTAAGAAAATTTAATTTTATTGAAAAGTGTTTCAAAAAGTACCGTTTTTGAATTTGAAGCATAGGCTAAATTGACTGGGAAACGACCCGTTTCACCAATTTCACCGAATAGTTGGACGTATCCAATTGGATCTTTCAAATGTCGACGCCTCCTTGAGCTCAGCTTGATTTTACCTTCATAGGAAAATACTGAAAGTTGTCAACAGAAAAGTTGCTGCTAGAAAAATTTGTGCAGTTTTTCATTCGGCATCTGTGAATTCTCTGAGCGTTTAAAAAGCACCTTGTACATATAGTAACGCTTTTTTACACTTCGAAATTTCTCCGAAAGATGAAGATTTTCAGCGATAGTTTGTGGGCCATTAAAAACTGAATTGGAATTGCTATTGCAAATTTTAAAAATATTGTAATTACCAGTTAGTGGCTCAAATGCCGCTCGAAATACCGGAAATTCGCGGAATGGCTGTGCATGTTTTTCGCTGTGGCCGATTTTAAGCCATTTTGCAACGTATGAAACCATCCGCTCATCGGTATCCAAATCCTTGAGCTCAACATAGTCAAGAAAATAATCTGGCATCTCACCGTTCCCATCAATTTCAATACGAACTTTTAATAAATCACCAATATCGCCAAAATCAACCTGCAAAATGATAATTTTATTAGTAGAAATGCTTCAAGTGTGCTATCAGTTCTGGGCACAGTTTATATTGCAAATGTCCTAGCAGCCTAAACGCGCTACGTTTTGGCGTAACAGCAAACTATACAGTGTAGCACGAAGCTGTTTATATCTACATGGTAATGGCTTGCCACCCTTATTTGGTTTTGTGCATATTTTTGTAAATGCAACTAACGCAAAGCAGTTGTCTTTTTTTTGTGTGTGCGTGTGTGTGCGTATTTGTGTGCATGTGTATATATGTGTTCAGATTTTCTTATCCACCTTCAACTCAGTTACCCAGATAAGCTAAGAAGCTGGGGTTTTACGAACACGCTCTCAGACCAGAGCCTAAAACCGCGTTCACGTATGCCTGCGTTTTTCGCATGGAATTTTTAGAAGAAACATGAAAGGATTTTAGCGGAGATACGATTTTGGCGAAGCAACTGCAGCTACTTTACTAATTCGGTTGATGCAGCGAAAAACTCCTCTGCAATTATGTCTGAATTCAGCCAGTATATCGCTGCTGTATAATTAGCCGACTGTTATTTTCAATATCCAGCTGAAATTTATTACCTGCACGAGTGAGGAAGAGGGCGCACTTGCCATTTTATTATCATAAATTTTTGTTGTTACTGAGCTCCCACGATTCCCATATCCGACAATATTCAAATTGGAAGTTGTAGCACCGGTACCATCTTTTTTACCCGAATGCAATATGAATTCCCATCGGCCGCCTAAAACAGTATCTGTCCAGTAACCCGCTAGTCAGTTCGGGTGAATAGAAGTACGTGATCACTCCAATTCTTAGGCAAATTTACCCAGAAAGTATAAATTTTACTTGTGCTTTTCGAATCATCCGGTATCGTGGCAATGTAGCAGTAAGCAGTTGTTTTGAGTGTCCGCTCAATTTTTCCATCAACCTGACCACTGTCCAGCCATTTAGCGCATTGAAAAAGATACTGCCGCCCGTCAACAACGTTTTCGGTCACGAGAACTCGTTCGATAAATACTCCAGCTCCTGAAATCATCAAATACCATGATGCAGGTAGTTCCAAAAGAATTAAGGCTGCGTCAGTGTAGGCGCTAGGACGCGTGAGTTTCAGATGTCCCAGAGTATGTGTAGTCCACGCGCCCCCAAATACGCGGAGTATAGATGTCCTTTCTGTTCAGGAGTATGTTCGGTTCTTTTTTTTTCAAGAAAAAATTGTGATTCTATTTTTTTCCTCAAAAATAATCTGAACGTATTTTGAATTAATTGTCCCGAGTTGTTATCATATTCATTAAAAAAATAAACAAGTACTAGCAATTTTTGGCCAATTTTCCTAAAATTTCATTAAAAATAATCTTTATGAGAAAGAATCCTGGCCATTCAGACTAATTCGATAAAAATAACTGGTCACTTCTCCAAGTGTTAGGTAACTGCCATTACACAGGACGAGACAAATGAGACAATATACAGTGACACTAGCACTTTTTAGGAACGACTACACTGAATAAAAGCGTACCATAGCCAACGTGATCATGCCCAATAACAATTTTTTGGAGCAAACCAAGTTCATTCGTTTCAATGTGAAACGAATCCATTCGATTTTGTCGAAACTTCGGTTCGCGTGTCTGTAACCAATTTATGTACTGAAAACATGTTGATTAAGTTCCAGCAGCGAAATCCTCAGCAAATAAATAAAATGGCTTAAGTATCTCAGAAAAATATGAAATTTTTCGTGCATTTTTTCTTTTTTTCTTGCAGCAACATCTTCTAGTCGAAAGGCTACATCATCGTAATCAAGAAATGACAACATTTGAGATCTCGTTTTGCCTGTTAGCTACACGTTAAAAATAGATTCTTTGCAAAAGATGCTAAATTTTTGCCT